CGAAAGAAAATGCAAATTAGTTGCGTGGTTCGATCGTGTTACATTGTGGCATCGAAGAATCGCGCGTTTATAAATCGGGAATTCTAACGAAATGGCACAGGAGGCTTCGCATTTGACATGTAAAAAATCTAAATGCATTATTTATACTACAGCTCGCATCTTATATACTTGGCTCATATCCGCATTAAGTTCCCGAAAAGGAAAAAGCTGGCTTGAAATCGGCTCGATCGTTTTCCCTTTCTCTCTGGTCGCAAGGGAACATACATATATCAATTGCATATGTATATGTATATATATATATACAGTACTGTCGTGTTAGCTGACCGTGATTTCCTTGCTAGCTGGCCGTTGCTATCCCCACTAGTTCTTGGAATTGGCTTCGTGGAGTGAGCCTTCGGCGTTACGTATCTAAACTAAACAAGGACCTCGATGTTTCGTATCAGGTATCCGTATCCCACTCGCACTCAATGGAGAAGAAACATACCCGGGATTTCCTAGAACTCTACCTCCCTTGATTGCTGGCCAGATGTGGTCCCGAGCCGCGGCCAGTTAATGCGACAATACTGTACGTCTGAACACGTACATAAGTACATCATGCGCGCATATGTGAATGAATGTGTACCCTTTTCTGTCCGAGGGAGATCAATTTCCGATGTACGCACTCCAATTTTATTATACATGACACACATATATATATACGTGTAAAAATCGGGAGCTTCAGCTTATTAAAGAACAAAAATATCCCGCGACCACTGTCGATCCGAGTCTTGCAAAATTTTACCGCTAACACTGTTTTATTAATATTATTCTTATTATTTCCCGTTTCATACAGTTTGCCTCTATCCAAGTTGTCCATGAAAAGATTGACTTTCACTATCTACATATAGACTGAATCAGTTTAGTGCACTCATATGTATATTGACTGTACAATTGTAAAATATAATTCCATCTAGCTATAGCGACTCTATAGATAGAGTTGTATATGAGCTTATTTTTTTCTTTTTTTTATTCTTTTCTTTTTTCGTCTGCGTACTACATATTCAACGACTCTCAGATCGCTAATATTTATTACGCGTTCTCTTTCTTCGCGTGCGCACACGCGTGTTCTCACTCTTCTTCTTGCACACACCATTCACACGCACGCACGCATGCACACACAAGCACGCACACACGCGCATACACATATTCATGCATGCATGCATACATACATACATTTATTGCATCGTTTTCTCTCTTGTTCTCGTATTTCTGTTTCTCTCATACATATTTTTTCTCGGTTTTTTTTTTTTACACTTTCTTTATGGCCGCGCTACGCATTAATAAGTAAGTTTAAATATGTTACTCGCGACACACTTAACTTCGAGATTTAATGCGTTATGTTTAAATTAGTTGAGAGTAACATTTTACTCGGTAAGATATTTTATTAGAAGGTAATTAGTTTAATATAAACGTTAGTCGTCAGTATATTGAAGGATATGCAGATAGAGAGTTTGGAGGGCAGTGACAACAATATGTATATGCGCGTTTCTCGATAGCTGGTAAATACGTGTTCTTAATTAATCCGTGATTTGCCATCTTCATAACACGCGACGCCGGAATAAGAAATAGTAATCAGTTTCTGTGTTTTTTTTTCTTCTTTTCGAAGAAAGAGAAAGGAGTAACATTACGTCTGTTATGGTACTTTCATATTAACGAACACGCAAATATTATCGTCGATGAATTATCGTAAAAACTGATGTAGTTCAATAATCTTTCCATTGAGTATTCAATTTTCTGAACGAAAACATACGTACATATATGGTTTTATGGTTCTGTGGTTATTTCATGAGAACAGATGGCTTTGAGAAATTGATCTTTGTACTCGATCTTTGTCTCGAATGCTTTTTCATATCTCTGTTATAAAAGATGTATTTAATTGCACTTGCACGGTTTTGTGATGGACCATTCTGTGTTTGTGATTTAATTTTGTGCTTCGATTTTGCAATAAAATTTGTATGGTGTATTTTACATCTTCGACTGGGATAAATATAGGAATGATAAAAAAAAAATTGAACTATACAGCTTAACGAAACTGTAAGATTTGTTAACAAATAGTAACACCTTTTTCTCAATTTTTTAAACGAAATTAGTTAAACAATGTTTCCGGAAGTAGATGCCCCATAACGTATTTTTCATTTCTTTGACAAGAAAATTCGCCAAAAAGGCGCACAGGATTATGTCCGCTTCCGATAATTATCGACAGAGCAGGTCAATACGTTGTTTTCGTTTCTTAAATAAAAATAAAACTTACACACCGGGTGAGCCACGTAAAACAGGTCACCTAATTATCTTCTCTATAGCTACGATGATACGAGAAAATTTGGGCCAGCAGATATTAATGTGCATTTAAACATGCATAATAATACGACCTTAAAAGGATTTTCAAAGTTTCAAATCAAATGTGAAACTTCCTTTCATTTTTTTACCTTTACATTTAAATCAAATCATTTAAATTACGCATAAAAATTGTCTTGTACCACCGTAGCTAGAGAAGACAATTAGTTCGCCTACCCTGTATATTGTTACGAACTGTGCTGTATAATTCAACAGTTTTAGAAGGCAACGAACAATTTTTAGCAAAGTTACATATGATCGAATAGGTGCAAGAAAATCATGATTGTGTTATAAGTGGTTTTTTTTTTTTTTAAATAAACACGTTATCTCATTATCATTCGCTCCCCGTCAATTACGAAGGTGCCAGTACCGTTTTGTTAATTGTGCACGGACTTTATATTACGCTGAATTCCGTGTTGCTTTCACCGTTCGTTGATTCCTTTTCGTACGAAAAGATACGTCTTGTTTTTCTTTCAAAGTTGATCCCAAAGCAATGGTAGCCCGAAATGTTACAGTGATATCGTTAAGACTGCCCGCTTAACTTCAGCCACATGAATGTACAGAATCTACGTCAATTTATCGTTTTAGAGCAGAGCTGCTTAATTTCTTGCTCACGAGCAAATTTCCCCTCCCGAGGTTCCCCCACTATGCGACGATTGTGTGATGGTCACGCTCGAGTTGCGACGCGGCGGGAGGAGGACGCGAGGAGTCCTCCCACCACACTCCAGCGACTGCCGTTGGTTTATTCTACAGATTCTGCGTGTCGTAGCGCATAGTGGGGGAACCTCGGGAGGGGAAATTTGCTCGTGAGCAAGAAATTAAGCAGCTCTGCTCTAAAACGATAAATTGACGTAGATTCTGTACATTCATGTGGCTGAAGTTAAGCGGGCAGTCTTAACGATATCACTGTAACATTTCGGGCTACCATTGCTTTGGGATCAACTTTGAAAGAAAAACAAGACGTATCTTTTCGTACGAAAAGGAATCAACGAACGGTGAAAGCAACACGGAATTCAGCGTAATATAAAGTCCGTGCACAATTAACAAAACGGTACTGGCACCTTCGTAATTGACGGGGAGCGAATGATAACAGTATTTCGATATTACTCGAAAGTTACACCACGTACTTATGTTCGTGTATTCGGAAAAATTTCTTTCTACGCGAATAATTCCTCTTCTGTGACGTTTTTCGTTTTTTGTTTTTTCAAGTTTGCCTCTTTCTTAATTTCTTTCAATATGTAAGAATTCAAAAGAAATTTTTGTCACGTTCCGAAAAATTTCTTTCTAAGCGAATTAAATTACTCCTCTACGTACGAACATATATACGTTTTCGATCTACATTCACGTAGCACAATGTTGTGTGAGTAATTGTTTTTGTAAAGAGAAAACAGAAATTTAGTACGATACCGATAAATTGAGAAAAGCACTATAACCTCTTCTGTGACATCTTGAACTGGTTGTTTTATCGATTTCCTCTTTCCTAGAGTCGAACAGGCAATCGTTCAAAGAGCTCCGTTCGATAATGATCGATTCGAATCGAACTGCGATTGTGGAGTTTCTTTTGATTAAAACGCGTTAATTGCGCCTTCCAGTAAGCCAGTATTCCAACGAAGGCGATGCTACAATAACATTCTTTTCTATCTTCATTTACGACGTTTCTGTAACCTTCTCGGCTTCATCTTGAAAAAGTTTCGCGCGTCGAAAACATTCGAATCTTTCGAAGCGTATATTCGGTGGAATGAACTCGTAATTTGATCTTCAGGAATTTTTCAATTTCCAGAGAAGCTCGATAGAAAAGCTACGCAGCACCTATCGATTAGAAGTAAAAATCGCG